CTGTGAATTCCTAGTGTCTTAAGGCCACCTAGCCCAGCTGCCTTTTCTTCTTAAAGCCTGTTTCTACGTTGCTCTTTTCACACCTTCATTCAGCAATTCATAAAACATGCCTTCACTTAAAAAAAAAAAAAAAAAAAAAGAATTATAGAAGAATTGAAAGACCATGATAGAAAACTCCTGAATATTATTTATGCAAGTTCGCCTATTTTTAACATTTTGCTGCATTTGCTTTATCATNTGCCTTATTTTTTTCCTTTTATTGAATTTATTGGGGCGACAGCAGTTAACAAAATTATACAGCACATTGCCTTTTAACAATCAATTAAGCTAGCTATGTCTGCACATTTAACTTTTTAACACTAATGGCTCCACCAGGTTTTCATTAGTAAAATGGGGATTGACATTACTAGGGAGAATTTTGAAAATGAATGAGATAAATTAATTCAACAAATATTTACTTAGCATTGGATTATAGTGATTAATAATAAAAATGTTTTTTGTTCTATAAGCAGTCATAGGTTTATTGGAGAGGCAATATGTAACCTGGGGGTTGATTGTCTTAAGCTGGGGTCTATGGATGGATGGGCTTGGGGCAGAGATGCTTAATAAGACCGTACACAAACATTTGGGTATATATGCATTTTTCTGAGGAGATTCATTACTCTCATTAGATTGTCAGTTGAGTCCAAGACTTACAAAAGAAAAAGAAATATTGATGTAAACAAATATATTTTTAAAAAATATTTTTTACTGATTTTTAGAGACAGGAAGAGAGAGCAAGAAACGTCCATGTGAGAGCGAAATATGAATTGGCTGCCTCCTGCATACCCCCCACCGGGGATCAAGGTCAAAACCTGGGCATGTGTCCTGATTCAGAATCAAACCGGCCACCTTTTGGTGCATGGGACAACACCCAACCAACTGAGCCACAATGGCCAGGGCAACAGATAAATTTAATATACCAAAATAAATTATCATAAGGAAATTACTATAAGGCCAATATCATGGGTGAACAAAGAATAAAAAACCTTATTTCTGCTTGGGGTAATAAATAAACCTTCACTGATCACAGGTGAAGGAAAGATAGAAGTTGGGTGGGGAAGATGGCAAGGACATTGAGGCAGAAGGAACTGTATGTGAAAATCATGGGTTTCAGGAAAGAAAAAAAAAGTGTATTTGGGAAAAAAATTCAGTGTGCCTGGAGCATAAAGCACACAGTGAGAAATATACAGGGCCAGAGAGTGGCAAGCTTTGTACACTGTGTGACATATGTAAGTATTTCTCAAAGAAGGTCTCTTCTATTCCTGCCTTACTAAGGGTGATGGGTAATGAGGTCTACCAATCCTCAGCAGGAGGTAAAATCTGTCCTCCTATCTGACTTTTCTCTCTCTTATTCCCACTGCTCCCTTTATATATCCAGAAAGAGCTCTTTGGTTTTTATCTTCCAAAGTCTAAAATGATGGAACTGAAAGGAAACTTAGAAGTTATTTTGGTCTAACTTCCTTATTTTACAGTCTTGAAAATAACCTGAATGAGGAAATTATTTACTATCCTTGTTTCCCCTTATATCTCTCTGGTTTGGTGCTGGGCCTTTTGTTCTCTCTCTCTTCTGAGGAAATCTCATAGACTCCTTTGGTTTCAACTAACATCACTATAACTAAAACTCCATGATTTGTATTTTAAGCCCTGTTTTTCTCTCTATGCCCCAAACCCTTTGTCTATAGAACATTTCTACCTGATATTTTATCTTCTCCTGAAACCCAGAATGTTCAAAGATAAATTTATAATCTTTCTCTACTCCTACAAATCTCCTCCAGTATTCCCTCTGACATTAGAAAAATGACACCTCATCCACTCAATTACTCAAATCAAACCAGGTACCATCAGCCCTGCTGGAGTGGCTCAGTTGATTAAGCAATATCTTGTGCACTGAAAGGTTGCTGGTTTAGTTCTTGGTCAGGGCATACCGGGGTTGTGAGTATGATCCCTGGTTGGGGCACAAGATCAATGTTTTTTCTCTCTCCCTTCCTCTCTCTAAACATGTCCTCAGGTGAAAATGAGGTATTATCCTTGATCCCTGCTTCTTCTTTAGTGCCCTCCCCCAATCCAATCAACTGACCAACCACTAAGACCTCTAATTTTACCTCTTAAATGTCCATTTCTCACTGTCTTCACTGCCACTATATTAGGCCATTATCTTTTGCCTGGACTTACTGCAGTACTCTTCTAACTCCTAATCTTCTCTCTTCTCCCTAAATATATTTCCCACACTGCAATCAGAGTTAAGGAGTTAACATCATCTTAAAACATAAACCTGAGAATGCTATGCTCCTGTTAACCCTTTACTAGCTGATCATCATTTATAGCTAACCTCTAAAGTTCTTATTTTTCTTCTTTCTGCCCAATGCTCCAGTCTTATCTGGTGCCATCCTCTCATTATGTGCCAGTCACGCTGTCCTTTTAGTTCCTCACCAGTGCCAAGCTCTTTGCCTGCTTGGGCCTTTGCACTATTGTTCCCTCACTCCCTTCCCTCGCTGTCAATTTCTGGTTATCCTTCAGGCTTTAGCGGAAGCTCACCACCTCAGGGAAAACTTCCTTTGCTGCCCCCCCCCCCC